AGCATTTGTATTTTTAAAGTTTTCAAAGAAATCGTGATACCTTTTACAAGAATGGCACATTTTGAATTGTGTCATTTTTATAAATAATAAAGAAAGTTTTCTACAGAGAATATTACTATCAAAGTTTGAAGAAGAAATTTTTTTTATTTTGAATTTAGTCATTTCATCTAATCAAGGTAAATATAAACTGTTGGTTATATTTCGGATCACTTTTGACGAATTATTCCGGATTTATTATTGATAATTTAAGTAGAATATTAAAATTATCATAACTAATCAATAAAAAGGATGATTTTTTTTAAGGATTGTAAAACAAAAATGACAAAAATGACATGTTTGTTTTCGATCATGTTTGTAAAAGTATATTCTTTTTGCCAATATTATTTGATTAGTCAATAATTGTTAAGTTGAAAAATATCGAGAATGAAATACTCGTAAAATATAGCGAAATGAGCGAACCGCAATATTTAGTGCGCAAAATCTGTTGAAATCATGAGTCTTTGAGAACTGGGCCCATTATTCCTCAAAGCGAGGTAATTTTATGATCACTCCCGCCGGCTTCGCAACGATAATCATGATCGCGCGATTTACGAACGAGTTATGCGGAATGGTAGAAATGACAGTAATCAATGAATTGGCATTTCCCACATCCAGGCGGTATCCACCTCAGTAAGAATATTTCAATGGTGTTAGAATGACAGATAGACGGCACGATTCGCTAGAAGCGGGCGTTGCAGTCGTTGAAACAATTATTAGTCGAAGCGAGGTGAATACGACATACACAACGAGGTCTGGGTATGTCAAATAATGACCTTTTGTTTATCAGCCGATCACTGCGCACCAAGAATTTCGTAAAACCGTCTACCGTAATAGTATCCTAATGCGCGAAGCATGTTCCGATCTGCGAAGCGAGTTTCTCTCCGCAGAATCGGAATAGTGGAGAGAAAATGAAGGAAGAAGATGGTACGCAGAATTTTCGTGAGGTAGGACAAGAAATGGTAATTCTTTGATATATATTCTACAGTACGCTATAATTAGCGCAGAACGTGACTAACTCGATTTCAATTCCATTTCATAGCGAGAAACAAAACGAAATGGATAATACAAAATATCATAAATTCTCTATTCTAACAAAATTATAAATTACTATCACAATGTGCGATCTTTTTATTAAAATTGTTGAATAGCTTATCATAAAAATTTTAAAATTTTATTATTTTTAATTAGTATACAAGAAAAACTTTTTACTGAAGTATCTAAAAATTTGGATACAAATCTAAAAATATTGTTAGATTGGCAAAATAATTACGTAGGACGCTTAAACTATTTGCTATAGAATGTTGAAACTTGAATGGAAAAGACGATTTTGTTTAAATATCTAAAAAAATTAGGTACATATAGATCTAAAAATAATTCTGAACTATCAAAATAAAGTATGGAGGAGATGCGAACATGATGAGTAATACAACAAAAAGTTGCAACAATCTAGCAATTAGCAAGTGTCCTACGTAATTATTTTGACAATTCAAAACAAAAATATTTCCAAATTTGTATACAGTTGAATTTTTAAATACTTCAACAATCGTTTTTTTTTTTGCAGTGATAAAAAATAGTAAAACTGCAATTTTTGTGATAAGCTATTAGATATTTTTAGTAAAGAGATCATATATTGTAAATTATCATAATTTTTGTTCGAGTATAGAATGATGTCTTTGATTAAAAAAAAAAAATAAATTCGCTCCTCCTAATTTCTCAAAGATATGCACAAAGTACGGCGATCAACCTGATAAGAAAAAACGAAGACCTCGAAGATTTCTATAAGTATAAGCAAGCGTCTCCGGGTTGAGCACCGCGATCGCGTCGCGTCTCGCTTGAACCATGGACCAGACAAAAGATCCTGGTTCTCACGACCACGCCCTCTCTCCTCGCCGCCTGTGCCCCTCGCCAGACGGCGGCGATGCCTTCACGAAGGTACCTATCCACCGGAAATTCCTAAAGCAACCACCATTGCCGCCACCGCTGCCGCGCCACGCCGTACATATCTACACGGTCAGGAATAGAACGGAATGGAACAGAACGCGTGGAACGGCGCGACCTCCTCCAAGTTCTCTCATGACGTGGTAATAAATGACCGGGGTTGTATGTATACGCGGGGCGCCCGTATACGAGAGCGGATAAAAGTGCGAATCTTTTCTTCTCCCTCCCCTTCTCACCCCTTCACCCTCGTTGCTGGACAGAGGCACCTCCTCGGCGACGTCGCGGAACGGTATCGAATTTCCGCGAGGCTTCACGGTCGTGAATCCTAGCGTGCGAATGCCGGCGACCTCTGACCTCGACGGACCGCGGATCACGCGCGCGAAAAATCTTGGCGAAGGATAGCACGGCGCCACGCCGTGTGTGCCTCTTATCTGTTGCATCCTACAGCATGCAGAAGAGTCACAGCATTTCCGATATAAATTCGCGAAACACGGCAAACTAACGCGTGATTAAATCTATGACTGTCATTGACCGATTTGATAACAAAATCAGGAATTTTCGTTTACAATTAAATAATTCGTGCGAAAAATTGATTTTGAAAATTGCCTTTTTATAGTAATTGAATGACAATTTTCTTGAGCTCGTAATTCGTAAATTTCACGGCGAACAGCTACCGTGAACGGTTACTACGTCTAATTCTAGCGTCTCGTAAATACTAAAGGAATGTTCGATGACTAACGATTTGCCGACTTGACATAGCTGGGCAACAAGTTGTCAGCTATCGTACGATCAACTTAAGCATTATTTTATACGATCAACAACGCACTCACGATGATATATGGTAATAAGATGTTTTGCACTGATTTAACATGGGGAGATGAAGATAATCCGATTCCCAATTTCTACGTATCGAAGTTTCTTCTATAGATGAGCAGAAAAAGAGATTTCCACGTTCGCTCATTTCAAAAGCTCACATCATACTGTTTTGCTGAATGAGATCCTGTATAATTTGTATACGTAGTTGCATACAATAACGACGATGCGTTCTGTCATCGCAATTAAATTCTTTTTCGTTAACTTTTTTCACAAATGCTATACGTTCATTGATTTCGAGTGTCCTGCATAGATGATTATCTTTATGTAGTGTTGTTTAAAGATGATCCTACACGGTCAATAATACTGATCAATAATATTGCATTAATAATACTGAAAATGTATATTAATATTTTAACTTTACAATTAATATTATTGACAATATATTTCATTTTAATTTTACATATATTATCTATTATATTATTGTATTATGACATGAATAAAGCAATACTGAGAGAGATATTCAAAAATCAAAATCCAGATCACGTCAATATTCTACATTAATATTAATTGTACAATCATATATTATTAGTATTTATTAATACTGACAGTATTATTGATCATGTAAGGTCATCTTAAGATTTGTAATTCTGGGCTTTTCCTTCCAACTTCATTAAGAAAAAGGAAGGCAAAATGTGAATGTGATAATCAATGCTTACAATTACAAATCTAGGATTACGATTCATTTGATGTTACAAATAGTTCAAAGCAATTTTTTCATTAATCAATTAGTAAAATTATTTCTTTCGATTGGCTAATCAAATGCTTCGAAGCATTTGTAGTGTCAAATGGACCGCACCTTTAGACATCTAATGTAGACATTCAATATTGAAAACAATAGGATAAACCAAGAAAACTGCGTATGGGAGAGAAGGTATTGACGTTAAAATGACGAAACGCGCGATCCAACGTTCGCTGACGTACACAGTGAGTCACGATCGTACATAGTGATCATCAGGAACGTAATGCGTTTGTTTCTTTGAATCGATTGATTTATTTCATCTTGATTAGCTTTCCTAACTGAAGTTCCAATAGTTATCTAGCTTTTTAACTGTGGAATGGAGAGATTTATGATACGACGACGCTACGTAATTTAACTTTTTCTATTTGCAATTCCAGTGATGTATTCGACATAGCGGTATCTTTCGTTCGTGAATACCTGATCAAAGAGAGTTCTTATCTTCAATATTGTGCTGTAATTAAGAATGCTATCGTTATTGAGTGATACAGTATTGCTATCGTGCGAAAATTTTACAAAATATCATATAAAAAATAGACCACTTTAATTAAAACACAAGTTTTATATATTTTGACGATAAAATATTTTTAATCTAAACAAATAATCTAATTATTAAGTCAAAAGAAAAGAAAGAATAAGCGCACCATAAAATTTAATTTCGAAATATAAAAAGGTATAAAATATGCAGTTCAATTATGTATATTTCCCCATAACACTTAAATAAAACGTGTAACATAAAATAATAACACAAAACTGTTTAAAAATTGAAATCATTTATATCACGTTTTCTGTTCTAGTAATAACTTTCTGTTCTAGTAATAATATCAGGTCAAAAAAATTAGAATTAATAACGGCCAAAATTTTTAAAAACTTGTCTCCACTTATCCTAGCTTTTAGCAGATTAGACTTTCTAATGATCATTGAAAGGGCTCATAACTTAGGGCTCAATGACCTCGCTCATTTCAATAGCATTCTGAAATTAACACTTGAATAGAATAACTGAACAAAAATGAATGCAAACACGGAAAGAACGTTTTGTTGAAGTATCTGAATACTTAATTAGATATCTGAAAATCAGATCTGAAAATAATTTTGTTACACTATTAAAATAATAGGATGTTCAAATATAATGATAAATATAATGATGCAAAAAGGCATTCTAGCAATCAATTTAATAAGTGTCTTATATAATTATTTTCATATAGTCCATCAAAATTTTTCACATATTTCAGTTTTTTTTTTGTGAAACAGTAACGGCGATAAAAAAATATATTATTTTTGAAAGAAATTAAATTTGACATGAAAATATAGATGTATAATTCATTTAGAGAAAAAATTGCACGAAATTATTTAATACTATTCCACAAAATTGATAAAGCGCTATGTATTCTTGCAATTAACACTAACTTACCAGTATGAGTCCTCTTGTGCGCTTTTAAGTGCGAGCTCTTCGTGTAAACTTTGTCGCAGCCAGCAACGTCGCATCTATGAACTTTGCGTCTCTTCAGCGCATCGCCGCATTCGCCATCGACACCTAAATTGCCGCCGTTTCCGCCAACGCCGGCGTTTCCTCTGCCACCCAAACCGATACCCGCTGCCAGCGCCGGACGTTTGTGGAACACGCTATAATCAGATAATTAAATCCATAAAAGTTAATCCTAACGTGAATACAAATAAAAACAGCTTTTGAAAAGTTACATTAATAAAATTATAACATTCAATATAATATTCTTCTTTTTTAAAATTTATAATTTCATATTTTTAATTTCATAGCCGAGATCAAATCATAAACTTCAACAAATTGAATAAAATTCTTCTTAATTATAATTTATTTTTATACCTTCTGAGAATTTAATGTTTATCAATCCGACTTATGTCTTTCTCTTGGTACAAGCGAAGAACTCACTCAGTGACCAGTTTTTGATTGTATTAAAGGCAGGTAAAGTCATTCAAAATGAAACGACCAAGGAGATACGAAGTAATATTGTCGAAGAAGAAATCAAACACGATTCATAAAACGGCGTAACGCAACATGCCGCGAATTATGAAAGGATCGGTCTTGGGATTGCGTGCCTTTTTGCACCCGATCCTCGTAACTATACACTATATATCTGAGATGACATTGATTACGACAAAGAAACGAGCGACAAAAAATTTGCCGTTCCAGTCGTTACCAATATCAATTCTTATATTGAACGAGAGACGTCTTCATCAATTGTTTTGCGCTATAACATGTAGACTCGATTGTGCGACAGATGATCTCTCACTCCTTCTTTTTCTAAGGAATAACTCTCAGTTATTCCTTAAAGCCACAGTGTATTTTACAATATGATATGAACTATTAAAATAATATAAACTATTTAATAATAATTCATTTTTAATATTTCAAAGTTCATTCTAATTTAACCGTATATAAAAGTACATGGGTCAGAGCTACTTTTTCTTCTTCTTTTTCTCTCAATCCAATAAAAGTAATCATAATATCACAAGTAAAAGACGAACCGAACAATATTTAATCTCCACAAGGGAGAAAAGTCAGAGTAATCCAGAGTCACTTTGTAATGATCGCTATGTGATTTTGTGTAATATCTATTTATATAGGGTCTTTCAATAGGGACGCTCGAAATTTGTTAGATCATAGTAGCCAGTTGTTAAAGTGACACCTGTCAAATTTGTTGTGAATTGTTTAATAGTGTATGGCAAATCACTATGGAAGATCATAGTGTTGAGCAACATGTGCAAATCATAAAATTTTATTATCAAAATCAGTGCTCCGTTCGAGAAACGTTCCGCACATTACGTGATTTTTATCCTCGTCACAACCGTCCTGCCGAATCGACTATTCAACGTTTGATGGCCAAATTCGAGTCAACAGGTTCGATAAATAATCAGTCAACACCAATATGTCGCCGAAACGCAAGGTCTGCTGAAAACATCGCTGCTGTGCGTGAGAACCCGTGAGCTGTACGGGAAAACCCGAGGCGGTCAATTTCTCGTCGTTCACAAGAACTTGACCTTTCTATGACTTCAACTTAGCGAATTTTACGTCGGGATTTGGGTCTGCATCCCTATAAAATTCAACTGACCCAGGAACTTAAGGTAAACGACCATAGACAACGCTGTGTGTTCGCTGATTGGGTTCTGGAGCAGTTGGAAGTTAACCAAAATTTCGCCAAACAAATCATCTTTAGCGATGAGGCCCATTTTTGGATGAATGGATATATGAACAAGCAAAATTGTCGAATTTGGGACGATACCAATCCACGCGAGATACACCAATCTCCAATCCCGAGAAAATCACTGTTTGGTGCGGATTTTTTTGGTCTGGCGGAATCATCGGTCCGTACTTCTTTCAAAACGAAGCGGGCATTGCCGTAACCGTCAATGGCGAGCGTTACAGATCGATGATAAGCAACTTCTTGTGGCCTAAAATGGATGATATGGATACCGATAACATGTGGTTCCAACAGGATGGTGCTACGTGCACAGCATGCCACGATGGACATTCTGCACGAGCGATTTGAGGGCATGGTTATCTCGCGCGGCGACGATGTGAACTGGTCACCGAGATCGTGCGATTTAACGCCTTTAGACTTCTTCCTTTGGGGCTATCTTAAATCGCAGGTCTATACGAATAAACCGCAAACAATTGATGCTCTCAAAGTCAACATAACAAATGCCAGCAAATTCAGCCAGATTTATGCGAGAAAGTCATCGAAAATTGGATCGCCCGAATACGTGTCACCAAGCGAAGCCGCGGCGGACATTTGATGAGCGACGTTATATTCCATACTTAATGCCATAAAATATTCTTTCAAATAAAAAAAAAATTGAGTGGATATCTCACATACAACTCGTTTTATTTACATTTAAAAATCGAGCGTCCTTATTGAAAAACCCTTTATAAGGATTAACACTGTCATTTTTATATTAAAAAAATTTATTTAACATTCTAAAAGTAAAAATGATTAAAAAAGTAATATTAAGGATAGATTAGATATCCACGTTGCGTGAGTAAAAATAAAAATTTATCAAGAAAAAAATTTTTTAAAGACAAGAGACTTAAAAAAAATAAGTTTAAATTTGATAATTCTTATCACACAGAGTGTAAAATTATTTACTCTAACAGTTAAAATTTAAATTAGTACAATTTGAGTTTTTCTTTATTGTAAAATCAGTGTAACTTATTTTCCCAGATAATGTATTGCTTTTTCATCTAGATAAATGTACCAATTTCCGATGTTACTTGTAATGCGAAGTTTTCGTTTCGAGTCGGAGTACCTTTCTCAATAAGTACTCGAAAAACCGAGCGATTCGTCGAAAGCGCGCAATCGGCCGAATGGCATCGGACCAATCGATGGAACAAGAAAGGTATATTGGATCGGCTCGATCAATCTCAACTTGACGCACTGAATTCTGGTAGAACTTGTTTTTCCACGAAACTCGTACGTGGCAACAATATAGATAGACTCGCGTTTTTTAGGGCGTGCCATATTTGTATCAGTCAATTTGACGCAGTGCAAAATATTATCCTCGAATCATTTATGAAGAAAAAAACAAGATAAGCACCGAGAGGTGATCTGAAGGAATTACATAAGTATCGAAAATTTTGATGCTTTTAAACGATCGCAATAAATTCGACTCTGATTATTTTAGATTTAATCACGTTGAATCACAATTTTTCCTGAATTTTCAATATGCTTCTTATACTCCGGACTATTAAATTCATATTTATACTCACAATTTGAATTATTTTTAATCATTTCTAAACCGCCACAGCTCCTACTTAATACGTCGTTAATTTAATTAAAACAATGAACGATTTTATTCAAGCAGTGTATTAAAACTAAAACACAAAATAAATATGTATTAAAATTGACTCAAATTTAGTTTATTATTTATTAAGTACATATGTGGATATAATATATTGTTTACTTTGAAGCTGAGCAATTTAATTTTGACACACAGAAGTCCAAAATGACAAAATATTTAACTCAAAGGATTAGATATTACTAATATTATACTTCTTTGATATCTAACAATGTATTCATTTTGTTATCATTATAATTTTACTATTTAACGTAATGGCTCGTCGACGTGAAGTTATTCTACTTGAAAGCGATATTTTATATAAATTCACATCGGAACAATAAATTACGGAACGATACTAATCTGCAACGTGCGATTCGGGCCGTGATCGAGAATTGGAGAAGTTTTAAACTGGCTAGATAAAACGATGTCGGTACTGACGCGTTCTTACTCGCGCCGTATTTCATCGAAGCTATGTGAGGGCCTTCCTCGTACCATTCACGCTATAAACTAGAACGGCGTGTTGCGCGAACTGACATAAATCCGTTCCCAGTCGCGATAATCCGGCTCGCGTCTACCTCAATCCGCCCCTCAGAAAGTACCAGCTATGTGTCTTTGTTCATTTCTCTCTCTGTCGACACATAAACGCCATGGAAAATTAATTATTCGCTGTACTTCAATATGAACTAACAACTGCATATTGCCTCCTAACATACTTTTCTAACGATCTTGCTGTATACGTTACAGTCCGTTAACCCTCGCGTTATAGTGGCGAGAAGACCGCACGTTTGCGAGCCACGTCGCAGAAACGCATCGCAATGTATTTTAAACGAAAAACTACGAAATTAACTAGTAAAATCATGCACAGTTGCACTCTATAGACGGCTTCCTACTGTAGACAGAAGTTACAATCTGATTTGTCAAAATGTAACAGGAACATTTATGTAATGTCATTCACTGAAAATTAACTAAGTAAAACTTAGAAAAGTTAATGTGGTATGATAGAAAAATTGTAATCACTGATCAGCTAGACATAATAAAGTACGGAAACAATGTTTTTGCTGAATTTAAAAATGTAACTAGATTTAGAAGATACTAGATTTAAAACTAATTATGTTAGATTATCAAAATAATTATAATAGATTTAAGCTAGAATATCAAAATTTTTTGCAGTATTATCATGCTTAAAATTCTTATATAATTATTTTTCTAACAAAAACTTTCACATCTGTATCTAGCAAAATTTTTAAATATTTCAACAAAACTGTTCTTTCTGTGCGACAATTTAATAGACAGACAAAAAACAACTGAGAAGTATGTATATATTTGTTATAAAATGTACTGGATTGTGTGTTTGTAAGTGATGTTGTACTTTTTAAAAGATTTTAGAGAATAAAAATTAATTTAATTCAATGCAAAATATAATCATATCAAAACATCTCTATATAAACTAATTAAATGAGAAATTTATCTTAATATATATTTTTCTATGCGGCGAATTCGCAGATTTTTCACAAAGAATGTCCACAACACATGGATATTAGGAGTCGTGTTGCGTGTGTATGTAAATTACTCCATTTAAGATGTGTTCAACGTACACATAGAGATACAAAATATACACAAAAGCTGCAATTTACATCGGATGTGATTTATAATTATTTCTTCATCATACGTGAATTAAGATAAAAATGACTATATAAAATTCAAATAAAGAACTATATAATCGCTTACCAGATATTTACTAAATTCTTGAATAAATTTAAGCTTAAAATGATTCTCACACGTCTTTTCATATTTTTAGATAACGATCAATTTTTCCAACGAACTAAAACCGCCAATTGAAAGATCCGTTTCAAGGATAAGGGCCAAACAAAGCTCGTGCGCAACGCGCCGTATAGATACGCTGATTTGCAAAGAGCGTATAATGGATCGGCGTCACGCTAATTGGGCGAAAGGAGCGAGTCGAAATTACTTAGGCGCGTGCTTGAAAGAAATCGTGACGGGACGTGTAAAATGAGGTTTGTTAGCGTGCGCCGGGTGTCACGAGATTACTATGTTTCTTAGTGTGTGTCAGAACACGGTTTCTATAATGTTAGATGGATCGCGGGAGAAGCATGGGCACAATGGAAACGACAATCGCGCGGGTGCGCGGCGAGAGCAAATTAAACGAGATTTACAGCGAGCGCACGATCTCGTCCTATTAACCCTGGACATACTTATGCATTCGATGAAATACGACTATACGTAAGAATCACCATCGTGAATGAGTACCCTGCTGCTTTCGACCGATTGTAAAGCGATAATAAAATCAGTCTTTGTATTTCGAATGGCACAGTTAATAAATTTAAACACACGTATGTTTCTGCATTGTCGTGCGTTTACTTTGCACGTCTTCATTCTGAACAGTTGAAATGTATACATATAAATACATACAGTATCCAACAAAATAAAATAAAGACAATTAAATTAATTTAATTAAATAAACAACGTTTTTCTCAGTATAGAGATACTTTTGTTACGTTATTTAAATTGGCTGTGGCACTTTCAATATATATGTTTTAAGTTTTACCCGTGCGAATTCTCCCTTAGATGATCTCTTAGATTCTCGCGAGAGAAAATTTTTTAAATTAGAATTACCAGAGTCACTAGCGGGACATTAAATTATTTCCCGCATTATCCATCCACAATGCGGACTTGTTTAGCATATATCATTACATGTTATGCTGGCGGCAATATCAATTATCAATTAATCATCAATTTTTATTACGCGCTCTCAATCACATTGTACCCAGCCTTAACGCTATTCTCCTTTCAACGCTGTTCTCTCGTCTTCAAGCAACGCGGACACGCCTGTCTAAGTGGGAGACGCAACAGGTGAATAATAATACTTACAGAGAAGCGTCCTTTATCCTCTGCAACGCGAGAAGGGCCGCAGTAGGGGAGATGAAGACAGACTCGGGTGGTTCCATCATGCAGACCGATACGTCTCTTTCCCGATCTCTTTCTCTGTCCCTTTGCCTGTCGCGATCGCGTTCCCTTTCCCGATCCCGCACCTCCCTCTCTCTGATCGCGGATTCTCTTTCCTGTTGACGTTCCCTCTCGTTCTCGCCGCTCCTTTCCCGCACCCTCTCGCGATCCCGGTTCCTCTCCCGGCTTCGATCATGATCTCTATCCCACGCTGTTTCGCCCAACGGTGGCAAAGACGGGGACGCTGCAAAAAAAATATATTTCCTCCATTTATCCCTGCTTGCTTGCTTGCTAGAAAAATGTTAATAATAACAATAACTTGATTGCGTACATACAAGATTGCTTTATGATAAATCGGATAATTACAAAGAGCTAAAAAATATATATTGCACGCAAAAGGTGAGGGACACCATCTATGATGCCTATCTATAATAAAAACACGATGATCAGAACGCAAGATGGATAAAACGTGAAATACGTAGAAAGTAAATAATTGTATTTTGTTTTAACATGAATTATTTGAATTCAAATTGCAGAACGAATCTTAACATTTATCAATAAATGGGTAATTTATACAATAAATAAATTTATATAAATAAATTATCCATTTATAAGAACTTGCAGCTACGGAAATTTATGATTAATCCAAACGGGATTCTATAAGAGAGATTTCCCGATTTAACGGAAAGCATGATTCACTGCTTGTACGCGATGGCGATGTTAATATTCGTTTTCTAATCTAAGGGGTCGGATTACACTGAGGAATATTTTTGTATAAAGAGGAAGAAGTCGTTCTCGCAGATTGGAAACCTATTTCTGAAAACCGGTATCATCTGCCATCTAACTGATTACGGTATTTTACATAATTACGCAGTATCTCTCGCACCTTGTAAGGAGCGTGCCGTATTTCGAGTAATAGCTACTATCGCAAGATGCTCAAAAGTAAAATCGCGAATAACGATGTTCCGAGAAGATATCGGATACAAGTGAGATAAAGGAGCAACGTGCATTTTTTTTTATTATATGATATCTACGCGTTTGCCACTTTATGCCGTGGCACGTCATGGTTCTGTGCCCTCGATCCATCAGCGATCAAGGATCGAAGGTCGATATCAGGCGAGTACGATGTAGCTCATGCAACTTCTCGTGAATAAATCAACGGAACGAATAAAGCGCAAGCGTTCAATCCACGAGATCTCCCAATCCCATGCGACGGTGTGTTACAAATCGCTTTATAATCTCTTTTTACAGAATTGCACGAATAATCGGACTTGAGGCTTAAACTTTGCTTATCATTACGATCGCGAGATTTTCTGCGAAATTTCGCGACTATCATGAATCGTTTCCACGTAAATTTCTATATTCTTCAAAAATTGGTAGTTTATTACCGTGTTACATAGCATAGCATTGCAATTTACTTCGCTATCGAGAGAGTTTTGACGACCTTTGACCCGTTGATATCGCGATCGACCAACGTTGAATCTGGTCGCTGCATATGTATATCTTGCAGCACGTTTTGCGATTTGTAAGCCGATTGACAAGCATGTTAAATGCCCGTGACATTACTGTTACTAATTAGTAGTCGCGTTAGCAAGGCAATACATTCGCGAGATCGAGCAGAAAGATGCGGCGGCTTTGCGAGACTGCTGTCGATCGTATTGCCGATAATATTTTGACTACACGTCTTTCATTCATCATAGAAATCGCTTCCTTCATCATCTCTTTTAATTGAAGTAAATTTGCAAGTTCATTTCGTTACGATGGTTTACCTGCATATGCGATTATCATGCAATTTCGATTACACAAAACCGCCGAGTTGTTTTGATAATTCAAAAATTCCTTTGATTTCGTTTATAGTCTATAGGGATGAGCGATAAGAAGATTCAAAGTATTATAAAAACTCGTTTTAAATAATAATTTTGTTTTAATAAATTTCTTTGGAACGTACAATGTGCTTAATGATGATTTAACTCAAAACTATTCTTTTTTGGAATGGAAGCTCACTTTAAAGAATGAAAATTGAATCAGTCTTGAAAAAGAACGGCTCAATTTTCAATTTTTAAGAATGAGATTTTATTCTTTAGAATGAAACTCATTCTAAAAATTTTAGAGAGTACTCATTCATTGTTCACTTCAAAAGATAAATAAAAATTATCAAAGAAATAAAGAAAGAACAATTTTAAATACATTTTAGTTAGCGTTCGAAACATTCGCAAGCATCATTTCATCCTTGTTAATTATCAAATGTTAAACAAGAATAAAATGATGCTTACAAGCATTACAATCAAGTGGAACATATCTTTTGCTGAAGTATCTAAAAAATTAGTTAGCAAAAAGTTTCGATATTTTGAATATCATACTAAAAAAATATATATTAAATTTTAATAAATATTAAATATATATGTATTTATTTGATACAAGAATTGATGAATTTGATGTAACTTTATTTATTTATCGTAAATAAATGTTAAGTTAGTATTATTCAAACAAATATTTATCAAAATTTATTATAGTACATTTTTTCTCAGTATTATTTTGATAGTCTAAAATTATTTTCAGTTCTGTCAGTTCTGTCCAATCTAAATTTTTACTGCAATAAAATCGTTCATTTCATTTCATTAATAATGAAAATTATTCTGTTTGCCATTAATAATAAATAATATGACGATGATTTGTTCTCGATACGCATCTAACCGATCATCAATTATTTTGTCATGGCAGAAATCTCGTGAGCGATTTGAAGGCGGTTAAGCGTCTTCGAATCGTATCAAGGAATCATTATAATTTCAGTTGATCGAACCACGATGTAACAACACAGTAACAGTATTATTAGCCGCAATTTCCATGCGCCGGATGGGGCGGTTTCGCTTAATTAGCCGCTGCTTCGGACATTTTCCTTTTCTTCCTCTGAAGTCTCATTCAGGACGTCTCGTTATGACCATTAACTCTTCGCGTAATTCTATAGACCCATGATCTTCATTATCTAATGGAGAACGCAGTCGTCACTACTGGAAACGATGCGATGTGACAGAGCTTCACCAGTCGGTGTCTTGCGTTTCACTCTAATCGTTTTTTTCTTGTTTTCTTTTTTCCATCTAGCTATTAACGATATCTGATGTTAAAATATAATAATGCTTGTAATTGGCATATGAGATGACACGTTTAATTATGCTTCTATAAAAAGAGGTTAGCTTCCGGTAAGAAGTTAAATTAACGATTAAGAAATAGAATTCGCGCAGACAATCTAGTTCACTCATAACTCTAGATTAATAATATATATATATATATATATATACCATTTCTTTCCATATTATACTATTTATAATACATATATGCAAAGAAGGAAAGATTTAATTAAAAAATCTAATTAATTTTGATCGAATATGTGGTTATAAATTTGAACTCAGCTAACTTGAATTTTGTGTAATGATATTACAGTTGAAATATGTAGATACAATCATTCATAACTGCGTATACATTTAGAAATTGCCCTTCTTTAATTTATAAAATTATGTAAAATTATATCAAATCATAGGATTTTGATTTTATTTTTCGAAAAGAATCTCCTAAAAGATTTTATTGTTCAAGGAGAAAAATCCTCTCAAGGATTTTATTCTTCAAAAAAGAATCTGAAAGATTTTATTCTTCGAGGAGAAAAATCCTCTCAAGGATTTTATTCTTCGAGAAGAAAAATTCTTCTTCCGCGGTACCCTCACTGTCTTCAAAATTGTTAATTACTTTAAATCTCAGCGTGTTTGTAATAAACATCTTCTTCTGTTGCTGAATTACCATACCAATGGTGAGACCATCCCTCTTGCGTTCGCTATATCATCGCCTCGCCCACGCCAGCGACAGGGTTAATCCTAAGCATTAACAGTAATACGTGGTCTTAGCATGTTTTGCCTTTCTGTCCGTTTCACCTTCATCTTCCCTTTAGGAACTCGCTCGTACTCTTGCGAGGTCTTTACTCTTAATTTTTTCACTTCTTTTTTCTTTTTTCTTCGCGCATAGGTATTCGTTCTCTCTCTCTCTTCTTCTTGTCCGCGTAAGGGAACATCAAAGGGGGTAATTGATAATGTTAAACGCCGGGGTTAATCCATCGATTTATGAGCAGAGTTTGCACCGTAAATTTTTTAAAATCCGCCAAATTGAGGGATAATCATCCGACGTTAATGCCTCGCTGTTAAAGATCGCCGCGCGAAGTCGGAGGTTTGATTGAGAGAGATAAGTAGGAGTTCGAGAAGGTTTATAGCGCTTCGCGTGTCCAGTGGCAAATAAAAGAACCCCACTAATCCGCCAAGAAAAAGAGGGGGTTGTCTGAATCGGCTGAGAGAATCGATCTAGCGTTAGATGCGGTGCGCGGGCGTTGAAGATAAAGCGCTTGCCTCGTGACCCGGAGATAAAGGTAGTTGTAGGATCTTGCGTTTGCAATGATGCGATTTAAGTTTCGCGACTTTTGAATCACGTACTAATCCATGACGGTGACTTGTGCTTAGGAGCTTATGCGTGTTTAGATAAATATTAACGTAAAAATAGATATAACGTAAGAATATAATAAGGATGAAAGTGTTAAACATGAAAAGAGCTTTTGAAAGACCTAAATTTTGCTCGATGTAGATCTGAAAATAATTTTGTTGGATCACCCAAATAATGAAAATTAAAAAATAATGAGCAAAAATAAATTTAGTATTCTAAAACAATTAAAATAAAAAAATTAAAAAATAAGTTTGAGGTTCTAACAAAATTATTTTGATGCTCCAATAAAATTATTTTCAGATTTGATCCAAAAAAATTTGAATCAATAATATCGTTCTTTCCATGAATTAGCATTGCAGTAATAAAAATAATTATATATAAAAATTAAAGAATATTGCATGTGATTGAACGATTGAACAAGATTTAATCTAGAATTGATGATGGTTTATTGGATCCACTCAATTATAAATTCCTTTGTAAAAAGTGCTAAGTTCAATTTTTTAAGTTACACTTAAAAATTTTGATATTCTTATTAAAATATGCTTAGGATTCATTCCTTTTTATTCAAATTATATCATTTTGATTTCTTAAATTAATGTTTTTTATTAATATAAATTAAATAGATTTTATAGAGCCAGCTTCATGAATGATTTTGGTTAAATTACTTAACAATAAGTTCGGAAGGTTAATAATGGCTTCCTATTTATTGACACAAGCTTTATTCGACACAAACCTCATTCTATCTTTCTCGACATTCAGAGAATAACA